CTGTTTTTGTTTTGCTTTCCTCTCAGACTGTTTATGAATACAAGTGCATACACAGACACTGTACAGCCTTCATAATCATAGTGTTGCAGGTGTCACGATCAGTTCCAATAAGTAAAGCCAGTATACACAGTAGAAATAACACCTGCAGTTTGCCTAAAACAGCGTGTGAATGAATGCATGTGCATGAAATCTGTAGACACTACATACTAATCAGGGCTGTGCACTGTTGTTTTGAATAGACGGCAGTATTAAAACAATTACTGTCTGTCAGATGAAAGTGTGGCAGCAACGTTTCCCAGTGGAGATGCAGATGTGAAAAACACACATACACACTCCTGTTTGCAGACACAACATCAGCTGTAAGTCTGATTACGAGTGATTAGTGTTTCATTGGAGAGGGATGATCACCACTGCCCTGCACTGAATGTGTTCCTCTCACTCATCAGACCAGCTTCTCTCCTGTAGGCGTCTTTCATCTTTCCCCGTGATCTCAGCATGAAGTTAACAAATGATTTGTTTCTGCTTCCCTGCACATGTTGTGTTGTCATCACTATGATATTCATGGCCATTGTTGACTTCAAGGCTGCAAACAGAGAAAAAAGACAAATGGATCCATTGCAAGGCAGCCAGTCCAAAAAGGAAATCCAAATTATAGAAGGGAAGAGCTTTCCCACATTGTGTCTGCTTCAGCGTGAGGTTTGGATTTCAACTGTACCTACGATTTAGTTAAATATTTCATTCCAATGTTCAAAGCCTTACTGGGACCCTACTGGGATTTCATAGCTAGACTGTGATTATCATCTTAGTTTGTCATTACTCTCCCAAATCTCAGTGTGTGTTTCCTTGTGTTTTCGTAGGTGTTTCTCTGGGGGAGCTCAGCAGCTCCTCAGCACGGCCCCGAGTCAGACTTGACTTAATTTGGTAAGACCTTCATGTTGCTTCATTTTGCACAGTCAGAGTCCTGCAGCTTGCAGAATGCCAATACACAGCATCTCCAAACACCCACACAACCACACGCAAACACACACACCCACACAAACAACACACACGACACACACACACACACACACACACAGACACACACAGACAGAAAACACACACACACACACACACACACACAGACAACAGACACACAGACAGACACACAACACCAACACACACACACAGACACACAGCAACAGACACCCCACACACCACACACCACACACAGACGACAGCAACACCACACCACACACACCAACACAGACAGACAGACACAACACACACACACAACACACACACACAGACAACACACAACACAGCAACAACACCCACCCAACACACACACACAGACACACACACACACACACACACACACAGAACAACACACAGACACACAGACAACACCCACAAACACACACACACACAGACACACACACACACACACACACACACACACACACACACACACACACACACACACACATAATTAAACTCAAATCTTTGTTTATATCTTAGCCTAAGTCATTATGTGCCACAGCAGGCTCTGTTTATTCTGTTTATTCTGTTTGTTGCCGGTGTGTTGTGGTTGTGTGTACTGTGTTGTGTGTGTGTGTGTGTGTTGCTGGTGTGTGCGTGTGTGTGTGTGCGGGGGTGTGATGGGTGGGGGTTTGTGTGTGTGTGCGTGTGTCGGCTGTGTGTGCTTGTGTGTGATGTTGTGTGTGTGTGTGTGTGTGTGTGTGTGCGGTTGGTGTGTGCCTTTGCTCGTGCGTGCCCACTGTCGGGCTGTGTGTGTGGTAGTTGTAGTGGTGTGCGTGTGCGTGTGCGATTTTCTTGGTGGTGTGCGTGTGCGTGTTGGTTTTGTGTGTGGTTGTCTGTTTGTGGTTGTGTGTGTGTGTGTGTGTGCGTGTGTGTGTGTGGTAAATAAAATTGGACATACATCAGCTGAAGAACTCGATGTCAAACATATTGTCATGTTTACCTGCTTCTGCTTCTTCTAACGTTTGTCCTCCACTAACAGTCCAATCCGATCGTATGTAACGATAAATGAACTAACTGTGGTTCCACCATGACAAAAGCAAACATAGTTCTAGTCCTAATGATAATAATAGTCCTATGGATAGCTGCATTCTTCATGAAGACATGAAATATAGACATATTTCTGGCTGCCTCTGCCTCAATTTTATCCCACAACTTAGACATTCACATTACTCACACTCTCATTACACATACATATAGGATCTTGGGGGTGGGCACGATACACGGAGTCCAAAGTACCATCAGGGTGTACACCCCACCCCTGGCGTCGTTGCCCACCTCTCAATTTTAAATACACGTAGACATTGAGGGCTAGCAGGAGGGACCATGCGCTTACCTGCTGCTCTCTGGCAGGTAGCTCCATGCCCTCCTGGGTTTTAAATGCACCTTAGAACACACATGCATCAACACTACAATTGATAGAGTACTTGAGTGTGATTGTACATCGTCTTTTTATGTCTGTCTCCACGTTGGTTGAGTGTGGAGTAAGTGTATATGAGAGCATGAGGTGGGAATGGATGTTCAGCCCCCATTAGTCCACTCCTAGCGAGGCTAGATCCTCGTCTCGTTGCACATAATCAGAGGTCGAGCCGTGGATGTTCCTCTGCGTCGAGGAGGAGTGGCCGTCTGACATCATTTAGAAAAGTGTGTACTCTCGTACTGCACCAGATGTACATTGTGTGTCTCGGTGTCGATGTATCAGTCGTGTGAGACCCGTACCTCCGCTTCCGCGTGTTGCCCGTGGTCCAGGTGTTACAAGCGGAGCTGGCGCGCCCCGGGCTCGCTTCTGCCCCCCTCCCAGGGAAAGATAGGAAAACACCACCTTGAGGTGCTGTGCGCTGGTGCACACGCTTTCCCATGAACAGGCAGGCTCCAAGCGCATATTCCACCCTTGTGCTTGGCTTATGGAGATTTGTGTTCTGTGCAGTCATTACGTAGCCCACTTCTGTCCTCCAAACGGCAGCTCTTCGTTAGTAGCACGCTTGGTGGCGAGATGTCTTTATTTTTATGGTCTGTTTCATGTCTGGACCGTTTTAACGACACGCGCTTCTCTTTTGCAACCTGCTGGGTGCAGTTCCCCCCTCCAGGGGCGACCCCCGGTGTAGAGTACGCTTGGGGAGTGTGATCGTGTGTACAGCGTCTCTTTATGTCTGTCTCCACGTTGGTTGAGTGTGGAGTAAGTGCATGGTGGGAATGGATGTTTGTATCTGTGTGTGCCTGTATGTCTGTGTCTATATGTCAGGTTGGGTGTCAGGCGCCACCTCTCTGGGGACATCTCAGGCCCTCCAAGGTTTGGAGGCCTATCTCCCCCTACCACCACTTCCCCTGCCAGTGGCGGACCCCCTCAGACATCGGTGCGTTGGTGGTTCTTTGTGTCCGGGGATGGGCATCCAGGTACACACCGGCTCACTCCTTGGCGGCCGCTTATCGGGGCCTGGAGCCTGGGGCTCGCTCGGGCCACTTCGGAGGTGGGGTGCCCCCGGCCTCTCGGCCTGGGGCTCGGTCACTCAGGCGCAGCTGGCTGCCGGCGGAGCTCACGGGCGCGTCACTGCAACTCCCCCTGGCTTCTGCTCCGCGGCTGCTGAGTGAGCCCTCATCTGATCCGGGAGCAAGAATCCGCTTGTACTCAGATCAGATACTTGCCTCTAGCTGCGTGTGTCTGCGTTGACCGTTGTCATGTCTCATCTCTCTAATGTTACCATTAAAAACTACAGGACTTGGTTTTTGGTTTTTTAATTGAGACAAAATTTTTTAAGCTGGTTCACGCGCCAGGTCGACGGATCATAGAGTCAAATACATTTCCCCCCCTGCTTTCACTGGTCTCTTGACTGTCGACCGAACAAGCGAGCATGCTGAGTAGCCATTCATCTGCATGAGCGGTACTATTCACTCAACACATTCTCGAGCTAGCTTGCATAGGGCTACTGAGGACTTATGTTCTCCGGCTGTCTCGCCAGGAGCCACTTAAGGCCTTTCTCCTTTGTGCCTAACGACAGATTTGGTTTCCTTGGCATTGCTTTGCCTTGTGTTCTGAGTACATTAAAGGGTGTCCTCTGTAGGAGCATGTCCTTGGTGACTTTCTAGGTCATCCTTTTCTTTCAGACTCTAAATTGCATCAATATTTATACTATTAGGCTTTCTGGCTTTTCTAGGTGCCAACACTGTGATATGTAACCTGAGAGGGACCTGCATTGAAACCTACACCCACGCCAAGACAACCCCAAATATCTAGTCTCAAGCCTAGAAGTTAATTTTAGTTCATGTATCTAATCGAAGAGTTATCCATTTCTAAAAACAACAAAAAACAAACAAGAACAACGGTAATACAGCAATAGGTCGCCTTGCATGGCTAAATCTACGCGAGTTTTGGGTGTAAACACATTGCATGAAGGAACCTTTTACGCGTCCATGCCCACAGGTGTACACACGGGTGATCACACCCACAAACTACACCCTTTTTGGCTCCTACCTCAAAGCACACTGTGTTCTGTTGATCTTATGTGCTGCACAATAATGTTTAATATTTAGTATTTACTGTCATATTCCCATATATCATTGTGATGTTGTTTATTCTATTACTCTTGTTCTCTTCTGCTTGCTTTCTTTTTTCTTTCTCAGCAGGTGATCCAGGTGATTGATATATGCATTTTTTTTTTCTGCCCGTTCTGTTGGTTTTTGTCTTTTGCCCTTCTCCCCCGTCCCTCTTCTCAGCTGTTTCTCTTTCCCTCTTTCTTTCTCCCCTTCTTTCCCCCAGTCAAGTCTGTCCCGTATTCAGTAAGTGAAAATAAAATAAACAATAAAAGGTGAATCAAATGGACCATTACGGCAAGGCTGGGATGGTCAATTTGGTAAAGTAAATCCGTTGGGCATCTTTCTTTGCCTTTAGACAACAATTCTGATGCAAAAGAGCCAAACGGGACAGGCAAAAAAAAAAAAAAAAAAAAAAAAGAAGACATGCAGAGGCTGCGGAGGGTCTTAACACG